AGATGGGAGTCTGCAGCCAATCACCTTCTCAGCAGAGCGCACAACACGCTGCAAAGCAGCCATACTCATTTAAAATAACATCTCATAGATATAGGCAGGGGACAGACTATGTAGGGGTTTAAAGTCCAGGAATAAAATGTTAAAATTATTATTTAAAGCTAACAAGTAGCCAAAGAATAATTGCAAGGACTGGTGCCTGTCAGCGGGATTTTGAATTAATTGATTTTTGATATCTGTCTAAGCTGAATGAAGAAGGATTGCATGACATTAGACTCAAATGAGAGGTCAGAGTCATAAAATACCCCCCAAGTTGCAAACCTCTTTGCAAATATTCTTTAATACAATGCTAATGCTAGGGGAGGAATGTGTGATTATAACTGCATGACTGTATCGTGTATCAGACAACCATTAATACTTATAAAAACAATAAAAACGCCCTTCATACATTATACTTTTCTTATTGCTTGTATGTGACATCCTATATCTATTTTTACATCCTCCCAGGTCCCTCCAGCAGTGATGTCCAGAGTGCTGTCCCTTCGTGGTAGTGGGGTTCTCCCTGTGGCTGGTGGGGAGGTGATGGGTGAAGGTCTAAGGGTACGGGTGGATCGGGCTGTCACATTCAGGGCCGTTCTGGCGGGTGGAGCTGCAGAGTACCTGAAGGCCTTGAGTCAGAGGCAGGGCTGTGTGGTGCTCAACTGCCCCGCACTGCACCCTAAGCCCAACACACCCAGTCCTGACACAATGAGTTTAGGCCAGCTGAGGACTGTTCTTCTGGCTGACCACATGGGGGCACTGCTGAGAAGACAGGGGTGAGTCTGGTTTAATGGACCGGGCTTTTAAAGTCCTCTTGGTTTTAATTTTTCTCTCATTCAAAATGAATTAATAACACAGTCATCATAACACTGGAAAATTCCCTTAATTAACTGTTTTCTGCTTCCCAAATGTGACAATTAGCTGGTTTTTCTCTTTTTTGCATTAGTGGATATTTGAAAGATTTTACCATTGGCTTCTTGATAATCTATAGACTAATCAATTAACCATCAATGGATGCAACTGTTAATTAATCCCTTTCCCTGTCTTAGATATGCTGTGTCCTTCTGCCCAACACTTCCTGAAGACAGCGACATCATCAGTTTCCTCCGAGCTCTGGGAATCGATTGGCCGACAGCCCCGGGTAATTGGACGAATGAAGAGCGGGAGGAGAAGATTCAGGACTCGCTAGAGAAGTCTCAATACAGAGAGAGGGAAATGGAGAGAGGCAGGAGAGCTAGCGGAGGGGGAGGGAGGAAAGCAGAGGAGGGAGAGAATGAAGGAGCACTCAGGATCAACCTGAAGCAAGTTTTTCAAGAGGAGGGGCTGCCGGGATACGACCCCAGCCTTGGCACCTGCACGGGTGAGTCTGAGTGCTTTCCCCCATTGTTCCCTTGCTTACCACAGGCCTTCATTTACACCTCATCATGAAGAATGATCAGTTTATCCAAATCCAGGGCAAATATTTTTCATCAGTTGTTGCTTTTTGTGTCAAGGTCTAGAAATCTCTATATCTCATCTTCCTGCTTGTCCAAAAAAAAAAATAAAAAAATGAAGCTGTCAGTTTTCTCTTTACTGAAGCTAATTGCAGTCCACTCAAATAAATCAAGCTCTGTTTTATTTTTATCTGAGGATTTGTGCCAGAATTGCTTCTTGCTGAGCCAGTGACCTCAAACTTCATGTTTCCAGTTTGGTTGCCAGGAGGCTCCGGCAAGCTTCTCACCTGGCCAAGAATAACTTGCGGCACTCATAATTATAACATTCCCGTTTAATTAGTGAGCTTAGAAGACTGTTTTATGTTTACGTTAAGCTAAGCCAACTTTCTCCTGTGTGTGTGTGTGTGTGTGTGTGTCTGATGGGTACCTACTTATTCCAAGAAAGCCAGCAAGCTTAGTTCCCAAAGTAATAAAACTGCATTGATGCAGCTTAGCTTAGATAAAAGATGAGTGAGATAACAGAGATTTCATATCAGAATCAGAATCAGAAAGGGTTTTATTGCCAAATGTTGAGCGGGTTTACAACATTAGGAAATTGCTGCGGTGCTTCAGTGCAAACATACTGTTATAAATACTGTTATAAATTAAGCTTAAATAGACATGAAAATAAAAATGAGAATAAGAATTAAAAGTGCTAAGTAGATAGATAGATATATACATGATATATACATGAGTGCAGGTGGTGATCAGTGCCAAACATGGAATGATGCAGTGAACACAGCGTAGGGTCATGTGTTAGTGGCGGGGACAGTCATAAGGTTATTGTTCATGTGTCCAACAGCAGAGGGGAAGAAACTGTTCTTATGGCGAGAGGTTCTGGTGCGAATGGACCGGAGCCTCCTGCCTGAGGGGAGCAGGTCAAACAGACTGTGTTCAGGGTATATTGTATAATAACAGCTGACAGACTGTTGTCCTGTTTTAGTTAACAGAGACGGCGTTTCCCAATTGGCACAACTGGACCTATCCACAGCTGACTGCACAGTGAGACAAACACACTCCATGTCTTTGTTTTTAATATAAAATTATTAATAAAAAACAAAATAAAACGGGCAGACAAAGCACTGATTTTAATTTTGTCACTGCCTCTTTCATAGGTAGCCATGGTAACAGCGTTACATGTGACTTCCTGTCAAGATGAGTTCCGCCAGCAGCAGATAGCAATGCTGTGGAGAGCCAGCGGAGCCAAACACACACAGGTAGCTGCACACACACACACACACACACACACACACACACACACACACACACACACACACACACACACTATGCAGTGATGAAGGGTTCCTATTTTTACCTGTTCTGCTTTCTGTTTCTGCAGAGGCATCTTGTTTGTGGGCCTGTGAAGACTCCTGGTTCACACCTGACTGCTGCACAGTACTTGCAGTAAGACACATCAGTTCCTCTGTCTGTGCTGCCTCTTTTTTAAATTTTTTTTATCCTTTGTCCTCTCTCGTCCTTTTTGTGACATACTCATGTCATTTCTGTTACTCCTCCACAAACCCTGCCCAGATCCCCACCAGATGTGTTTGTTTTCACCAATAACACTCTTACCATCATCTTCCCTGCACCGTAACATTGCAGATGTGATGAATAAGACGCTCTTGGGCGCTGTTGATGCTTTTCTTCGTCTGCGTGTAATTGTGGTGTATTTTTAGCTCGGTTCCCTGTATTAATGAGCCTTCTATTCTTCCTTCTCTCCTCCAGGTTGAGAAGAGGTCAGATGAAAGAGGCCTCCGAGATGAAGTATGGAGATCAAGTAGAAGGTGTGTGTGTTTATGCGCATTCTCATTGTGCATATAGACTGTAAGTAAACTGAATTAACTGAAGACAAGTGCTTCCTCCTCTTGAAGGTCAGACGTGGGAGGACATCATCAAGGTCATGACCTCTGCTACAGTCAGATTCGAGCTGCTGTCGACTGTCCACACTAGTCCTGTGAGTCATCAGTACAGCACTGTTCCCTTTCAAGCAGCCATGCTCTAATGCGCTAAGTCAGACTGACTGACAGCCGTATGTTTAGGTGACGCTGGACGTCAAGAGGGAAGGCGGTGTGTCGACCAAGGGGCCCAGAGGAGGAGTGTTTGTGATGTATAACTGCGCCCGATTGCACACTCTGTTCGACAGCTACGAGAGAGGAGTGGAGAAAGGTGAGAGCTGTGCTTTTCTGTAAATAAATGTTCCTGTAATTCAGATCATTGTGGCCAATGATTGCAGTCTTCCTTTAACCTCACCCAGTCTGAAGAGAAAGAGAGAGTTATTAAAAGCCAGAACGAGCTTTATTTATAGTTCAGCGGGACTGTGATGTTTTGTTGCATAAATAAATCAGAAATCGATATTGCTCAGTGGGTGGATAATGTTGCATGTGGAGCATTTTATTTCTGTCACAGTTATAAGAAAGCAAGGTTAGCTGCTTTAGGGTGGTATCCAAGGACATGCAAAACACAAAATGTTGTTATGAATATTAAGAAGCCAGAACAAAAACAATCATAAAAAATAATAGCAAAGAAAAAAAAGCAAGTCAGACAAAAAAGTGCTTTACACACGTGTGTCAATCAGATCTTAAAATCCATGAGAAACCAAGCTATGAGTGATGTCATCTGATAAATCTGGAAAATCCAGCTCAAAGCTTAGGTAGGGCTAAGCTTTGAGCTGGATCAAATTGTGCTGGAATTGTTTCTATTCTGCATGTGAACTCCATGTTAAGATGTGGTTTGAAAAAAGGGAACAACAATGATTTTCAGGTGTTTTGCTGAAGAAGAAGAAGGTGGGTCAGCTGTTCTAAGGGGTGACACCTTGGCAACACAGTGGTTCTGGGCCCATTTCAAGAGTTTGGCTTCCTGGTTGAATAAAGGTTAAAAACAAACTAGCAGGGAATAAGGATGCTGACATTGGATGATTTGAAGTGCCATCATTTTAAACAGAATTTTATATGTGGCCTAAAACTGATCCTTGTGGTACACCAAAGGTAATATGAGTTTTAGATGAAGAGTAAATGCCTGTGATGACTGGGAGAGTTATTTCTAAAAGATGAGAATAAACCTAAATAAGTGCACAGTCCTTGATATGCAGGGTCCAAAAGAATGAAAGCTTTCATCCACAGCTAAATGAAGGGATACTTGGCTTATTGCTTGGTCTCTTGGGTTCAATCAATATGTGTATAATGTTGAACATGTAATGTAAAATCTATCACAATGTTTCTACATTTAGTTTTCCTGACTCTTTATCTGCAGGTCTTTACCCAGAAATCCCAGAGGACTCCCAGCTGGACTTCTCTGCTCTGAAAGAAGAGGTGCCACTTTAGTGTCTTCTATGATATGTTGTTCTCTACAATTTTATTATTTTTCTTAATTTTAATTATATTAGAAACTGTAACTTCTAAATTTTAGTAATGCAGTGTTAATCCTACAGCGCTACCATGTGACTGTGTTTTAACTGACAGGGTGAATGGCTTCTCCTGTTCAATTACCTCATTCCATTCTCGGAGCTGCTTGAACAATCGGGACAGGCTCTGGATAGCGAAGGGGGTGGAGCCAGAGTGAACATAAAAACTGAACAGGTAAGAGCAATAACAGAAAAGGTGGATACGTCCGCTGTTGCAGATGTTTATATAACTCATACACATGTTTGTGTTCCTCAGATCTGTAAATTTCTCGTGTCGCTCAGTAAAGACTTTAGCTCCTACTACAACCGGGTCCACGTGCTGGGGGTAAGGATGTACTCATATATGTATGTGTGTACTTACAGAGGGGACTGTGTACAAATTAACTGGATTATATTATACATATTGTCCCACAAGAAGTAGATTTTATATTTGTCTGTATACATACACTTAATCATTTTCTGAATTATATATTACCACAGCAAATATGCTTACAGTAGGGTTTTCTGATTATGTGTGAATGCTGCAAAATCTATTTGCTTATGCGTTTATGTGATTTTTCTTGTGTGTTTGTGTGTTCCCTTTCTTCTTATACACTACATTTACATATAGTTGTGGTCAGAAGATTGCATAGACTCATTCGTTAATGCAGACCTTCCCAAAGTGTGGGGCCCGCCCCCTAGGGGGGCGCAGTATGAAAAGGGGGGGAACCAAAACGCTTGGACGCTGCTAGCACGGGCGCCCACAGAAACGCAAAGCAGGAGATGAAGCTGAATAGCTGAATATGTTTCCAAACCAACTTCATTCTAAGCCAAAAACTAGAAAATATAGTGAAGCATATCTTCCCTTTGGCTTCACCTGCACAAGTGCCGAGGTAGGTCTTCCCTGCAGAATTGGTTTTCCCTTTGTTGGGAGCAGCTGGGCTGTTCAAATCACGGACAAACAATTTTCTTGATTTTTAGTTCACAAACACTTGTTGTAATGACTAACTAGGGGTGACATTTTGGAGATGTTAGCTCTTTATACAGTAAGGTTACAGCGGGATACAAATAATATCAGGCTGATCCTGCCAAAATTTGTTTCCCTGGTTCAAATCACGGACAAACAGTATCCCACAGTTGTTCATGTTTTTAAACCCATTTTGCACAGAGAGGCATTTTTTTGAAAAATGTATTGATAACAATGTTGAATATTATTACACAGGAAAAAACAACTACACATAAAATAATCCCACCGTGACGCCTCTGCCTTTCTAAACGGAGGGACAGTAACTGTGTGTGTATATGTAAGCGTGTAAAATCTGCAGATGGTCAGATTAACAGTATTTTGTCGCTATCTGCTATTTTGCATTTCATCTCATGTAAACAATAACGTGGTGCACAGCCTGACATGAAAAAAGGCACATACCTTTGACGTTGCGTGACGAACTCTGTATTCCTCGTCCACACAGAAACGCAAAAAAGGAGTTTTAAAAAATCTCCATTTTCGGTGATTCGAAACGCCGTTTACGTGTGGACGAAACAGCTGCGTTTTCAAATATACCCGTGTAGGTGTGGACGTAGCGTAAAAGAGTTAGTAGTTTATTTTCTTACTACCTGTAATTTATTGCAGATTACTTGTATTTGCTTAATTGTTTACTAAATGTCTGAGGTGTGAAATAAACCGCAATGGAGCAAAATATGGGTGTGTGTGGTTGGAGGATGTGTTTGTGCGTGCGTGCGTGCGTGAGTGTGCGCGGGGTGGGGGGGCGAAAATGTTTGTTGTAAAACAAAGGGGGGCCTAGCAAAAAAACTTTGGGAACCACTGCGTTAATGCATGAACATCCTAGTACTTTGAGGCTTTTAATGATTTTTTTTTTTAACTGGTCTTTTTCCAGGGTGGAAAAATTAATTTGCTGTAATTGTGTGGAGGATTAGAGAAAATCCAAGATAAATTCAAACTTATGTACCCTGTTCCTGTTTTCTTTTAAGTCATTAAAGATCTATGCTGTGCATTCATTACACTCTGGAAAAAGAACACGTCAAAGAAAGCCTGAAATTACCATGATATTCATGCCCATGATGAGCCACCTCTGACCACATCTGTAACAGACAGAAAAGAACTGAAGTTTATTTTGAAGCCAGCAGTTGTTTTATTGTTATTTTTGTTCTTCTGTATTTCCACTCCCTCACATACCCTTGCTATATTCTCAGTCTTTCTTCTTGTCTGTCTTGCTTGCAGGAGCCACTGCCTCATCTCTTCAACCAAATGTTTTGCCGTTTGTATCTGCTGAGAGCATTGAGAGAGCTCTACCACAGCGCTCTGGACACCCTTAACCTTCCCCCCATCAGGCAACTATAGCCCCGACATAATTCACCCACCCTTCACTGTTGGCTCTACCTCCCTGCCTTCCCTACGCACACACCATATCCATGTGTATTGTGTGTGTCTAGCTGACACCTTTTTTGGCAATATTAAAAAAATTATGACATTTCACTTGCCCACTGTCCCGCTTCTGCATTTCCCTGTCAGTGTATTGTGACATATTCTAACTGTCTGGTTATTTCAATGAATAGTGTAACTACATTATATAAAGTGGACCCTGTTCTGTTTTTTTTTCTGGGTTGAAAGATTTTCTTGGACAATTTAAGCTGCTTGTATGCTGTAAAAGAAATATTTTGACATTTGGGTTGCTGCTTATTTGCTTTCTTACTGACTGATGAGAAATTCTTCCTTGTCTCAAGCTGTGTGCTTTTGTACTATCTCTTCACACACTTACAAATACAGCTACAGAAGTGCTGCATAATTACCTGTCAGCATTTCAGTTGTGTCAGTCTTCTGTACATAGAAAAAGGGGCGATGCCACTAACCAGCAGTCATTCACAGTGATGGCATGCCAATTGCTAGCTAGCCAGCAGCGGCAGCTTTTTTTTCTGATGGACATGGTTTGCTGTTTCTTGGAGTATATGCCTGTTACAGTGTCATGTTTACTATTAGAAATTTTGGCAATATATGTGCGGTCAGAAGATTGCAAAATATAGCTGCTAGCAGTTCGTGTTCTTTAACATAAAATGCATAACTTGCCGTTTTTGATTTAAGTCTTAGCCAGTTAAATTCACTTTACAATACACACTACACTACACTAAACAAGTACTTAAGGTATATAGTATACTACACTATGATATACATAATATGCTACGCAAGACATATTGCTTGGCACCCTTTGGTCGTATAGAAATTGGAAGCTACTATAGCTAGTTAGCTTTCCTCAGCTAGTTAGTTAGCTAATTATCTTAACGCAACGAGTGAGAAAAGAGCGAGCCTGGCTCTAAATCAAGATAACAAAGTCCACCTATGAATTTTTAAAGTGTGCTAATTGGAACATTATAACTTGTTTGTTTCAGTACAAAAACTTGGCATTAAACTCAGTATTTGGAAGGGGTTGGATGGTTTCCTGGAAACCTCCAGTTGCCTGGAGACACGATTAAGCTACTGGTGATATTAGTCTGTTGTTGTTGTTTTTTTGTTTGTTTGTTGTTTATTTTAACTCTCAACGAGAAAGCAAGTAAGAACATTTTCCCATAATGTCAGAATGTTTCTTTTAATTTTGGTTTTGTTACTACATGATGGAGAAAATGTCTTTCCCTTAAGCACAGCAGGCGTCAGGATCTAAATTAGATTGGCAGAGCTGGTATACCCTTTTGAATCTGCTAACTCAACTGATCTGTATTAAGACTTGCCTTATTACTTATTACCCATCTACTCACTGTCACCAACAACAGTTAAATCCTCTTTAGAACACATGTAACTGTTTAGTCACTGCCTAAATGAAGAAAATCAACTTTTATGAGTCTTCTCTAAATGTTAAATGCCCCCATTCATGGAAATCTACCACCTTGTATTTATCAACAGTTAGAAATATTTATTGTCATAAAAAATAGAGAGAAATGTACAGAATATATATTCTTCATCTGAGTCTTAATCACTGTGTTCACATGATTATTATCCTGCTTGACAAATCACAGATGCTACTATGAAACAGCTGTTTCGGACAGTTATGGACAAACGTAATGCATCGTGTCACAATCTTAGGACATGCATGAAATGGCATGATAACCATATGTATGACTTTTATGCCAAAAATGCTATTTGTAAATTTTGGGAGTGAAATGATAAGGATCTAGCATTGATCGTTCAGTTTTTATTGTTTGTGACCAACAAATGTGCCATAGCATTTTTTTTAATTCTATGATAGTACAGTCCAGTGTTATTGATCACAAATATCTGACAGATTTACTTTTCACTGCATGAAATGTTGTTTGACCCTGTAAATGTATGATTTAAAAAAGCAAACTTTTTCCGTTAGTTTATTTTCTTTAGAAAAGGGAATGAGACGTTTACAATGTGTTGTTTTTATTTTAGTGGCTGTCCTGTTAGCTGCTGCTGTAATTACCACAGTATTAAAGCAGAGGATCTGCAGAGAGACTGTCATGTTTTCCTCTTACACTCTACACTACTGCACTGCAACCATGTCTAAACAGAACCATGCTGACTTACATTAGCTTTATTTTTCTCTTGCTGCCATGTTTGTTGCCTCAGGCCCCAACACCTGACCTCGGTCACCCATCCTTCATTCTGTTCTCCGTCTTTTATGCCGACTCCCTCCTTATAGGCCCTGTTTGTTATTTTATTCAGGGCTATATTATACAGTGTAGTTGCACAAATAGTCCAAGGACTTTCACATTATTTTTCCCCATAAAATAATTGACACGAAGGCTTGTTGACTGCAAACCAGACAGCTATAAAGATGACTGCAGAATTGTCAGGAATGCAGTCAAACACTAACTTCATCTGTTGAACCTTTTGATCATACCAAGTGAAATTCCATCTGGAGACCTTGCTTTGCATTTGCTGCATGCATTATTTACAGCCGAGCTCCTACTAATTCCCCTCTAATGAAAATCTCTGCACCTCTGCCCCGTAAGTGTATTTGTCCATCTGAATGTAAATAACGCTGCCAAACTCTCGCCTACACACATCTGTGCACCCGCAGTTTGTGTGTGTTTTTCCCCTTCTGCAGACTTAAAAATAAGCATGACAGACTCTCTCACTGTATGTTTGTCTCGAGCTTCAGTGTCTGACAGATGGTGATACTGATACTGATGTTTTATACATAAATCCTCTCGTGCTCTGCTCCCCGCTGCCCTTGGATTCAACAATAACTCGCTCACTGCACAGATATGTACACTTCACTGTATGCTGCTAACAGTGATCCTTTACTGAGGATACAACCCCGCTAGTGTCATGTGTAATTTGTCTTTTTCCCTTGTGTAGACCCCCTCTCCCTTTTGCTGATCATTTATTTCCTCATTTATAGAAGAAAAGCGTTCGTTAACTCTGACTCAAGCCAAACTTATGGTTTTACTTGCTTTTATGAAATAGTTATTGAGTCTGCAGTGCTCCAGGAAAAATAAGACACCATCTTGATATTTTATAAGGCTCGTGCTTTGTTGATACCTTGCGACTTTAACCCCTCGCCTTCTTATATATCTCTGCTGTCGATGTATAGCTGTATACCTGTGTACTGTAAATGACACACACCTCTCATCCTTGTTTTGCTCAGTAAACTGGTTTGAAAAACTGGAGCATTCAGTCATTTTTAATTCTATACAGATGCAGATGTGTGATTGTGACTTTATGAAACATGATACAGTTGGAGAAATGTGCAATGGATGTGTGAGTTTGAAAGAAATAAACAGACTCTAATTGTTATGGTAGTTTCATTTTTAATGCAGAGAGACAGAATATGAACCAAAAATCCACGGGAAAAAAATGTCATTGAGTGAAAGATGTATTAGATCCCACCCAGCTTGAATTTTGGCTCCCACAGATTGGTTCTGTGCCCATGTGGCAAACATTGGACAAGAGCCTCCTTCCCACAGCCAGAACACTGGAGATGGGTTACGGATCGGATGGGTCTTCCAGCATGACAATGACCTAAAACATGCCGCCATCTGTAAGACAAGTATCTGTGCTTCTACTTACGTAAAGAGTGCGTGCACTTTCGCCAGCTCAGGCTATATGTATGAAAACTGAAATAACTACATGGGGTTAGGGACTATCTAGTGGCTGCAGGAGCGGTCATCACATGGCCTCTATGTGGACTCGAATCAGGAAATTTGAAGGTCACATCCGATTTTCTGTGCAATTGCACGCTGGCCTGCAACTCAATTAAACTGTTGCTTGGCTGGAAATGCCTCACCCAAAATAATTTGTTTGTCTACTCACACACATGTGCATGCACACTGCACACTGCACATTCTTGCTATTAGTTTTCCTTCTCACTGTTAAATGTAGTCATGACTTTAAAAGCTGTGGTGCTTACACGTGTGGGAGCAATAGATTATTAATGACTGCATCTGTTGTATTTTTGTTTTGTTTTTTAAAAAAAACATGCTTTCACAGTGAAACAAAAAGTCGGGGATGTGAGTTAGTAGATATAATAGCTGCATGATTAAAATAAATATCTGTAAAAAGAAGTGATGGTGATGGCTTGGATAATTGGTCTTGTTTTAATTAATGGAGGGAGCACCGACAAATCGGTTTAGCGCATTAATGATAATGCCATTAGTGGAGAATTTCACTATTGGCTTAGGTCAGCAATTAGCGTGTAGCTTAGATAAGAGCCCATGCGGTCAATTATGGGAAATTCCATGGAGATAAGTGAGCATTAATACAAAAATTCCACCACATAAATGATTCCTGATCATCTCATCTTAACAACAGATTAACGAAATAATTATAATGATCAGATAAACTTAAAATTAATTTCATCAGTTTACAACCTTTTGGATATTGAGTTGAAAGCTAACATGTTGTTAAAAGAAGCTATAAATATGTTTCGTTCCCAGTGTTATTTGCAACATATTGCTGGAACTTAAAATCGAATGAGTTAATGATTTAAAAAAACAAACAAATTTTCCGGCTTTAACACGTAATTTGTTGAATCAATATTATTAAGGGTCTGCAAATTATTCTGGATAGCTGATTTTCGGGCGTCGAGGTTATATTCACATCTTTTTATTAGTAGCTTTACAGGCAGAACGCTGTTTCTTAAGGGTAAACATCATTTACTTGGTTCATGGATTTTTCCAGTGACAAGATCTCTTCTACCTCCTGTTACTGTCAGCTTTTTCCACTATTACTCCCAAGACAGTATAGGGACAGCGAGTGATGGTCAAAGCCCTCGCAGTGGCGATGCGTCTTCCTGTCGAGGCACAGCACAAAACAACTGAGTGACTTTCACAAAAAGCCACAGCG